TAACTTACACACCATGCCCTCTTGACCATTTGCTACAAATCCATCTGGCTGATCCATATAGATCTCCTCCTCTAACTCTCCATTTAGGAAAGCCATCTTTACCTCCATCTAATGAATGATAAGACTATGAGAGGCAGCCAGAGAAAGTAACACTCGAATTGTGGTCAATCAAGCAATAGGTGAATAAGTATCAAAGAAATCTTCACCTTCTTTTTGGGTATAACCCTTAGCCACAAGCCTTGCCTTGTACCTCTCAATTGTACCATCAGGCCTAAGTTTTTTCTTGAACACCCATTTGCGTCCTATTGGTTTACATCCATAAGGATGTTTAACAATTTCCCAAGTCCCATTAGACATAATTGAATCTATCTCACTCTGTACTACTTCCTTCCACAACTTAGCATCAGGAGAGGAATATGCCTCTTCAATGGTTCTTGGTATGTCATCCACAAGGTACACAAATGTAGTCATCACAAAAAAAACTTTGCAGTCCGTTGTCTCTTACTCTTTCGAGTGACTACAATGTCATCCTCCTCAGGATTATGCATATGAGGATCCTCAGAATGTTCTACCGGAATAAATTGCTCATGAGGAATTATAGGTTCATGACTAGACGTGCTAGGCATATTTTTCATGGGAAAATCACTTTCAAAAAATGTAGCGTCTCTGGACTCCATGATAGTACTAACATGTATGTCAGGTACCCCAGAATTTATAATTAAGAATCTATATCCAACGCTATGAATAGTATAACCAAGGAAAACACAATCAATAGTTTTAGGTCCAAGTTTGCGCTTTTTGTTAATTGGCACATTTACTTTGGCCAAACAACCCCAAGTGCAAAAATATGAGAGATTTAATCTTTTTATTTTCCCATTCCTCAAATGGTGTGATTTCTTTATTCTTTGTAGGAACTCTATTCAGGACATGACATGTCGTCAAAATAGCCTCATCCCACCATTCCTTAGATAGACCCACTATCTCCAACATAGCGTTAACCAACTCAGTTAGAGTGCGGTTCTTTCTTTTGGCAATCCTATTGGACTGTGGTGAATATGGCAGTGTCCTCTCATGAATAATTCCATGTTCTACATAGAAATAAGAAAATTCACTTGAAAAGTATTCTTCACCACGATCAGACCTTAACCGTTTAACTTTTCTCTCAAGTTGATTTTCTACTTTAACTTTATAGATTTTAAAGTAATGCAACGCTTCATCTTTTGTTTTTAACATGTACACATAGAAAAATCTAGTACAATCGTCTATAAAAGTCATGAAGTATCTTTTGCCACCTTTAGTCAACTCTCCATTCATCTCACATAGATCGGAATGGACTAGTTCTAATGGCACCAAGTTCCTCGTCTCCGCAGTCTTGTGAGGTTTATGAGGTTGCTTAGATTGCACACACACATGGCACTTAGAACCTTTGAGCAAATTAATTTTTAGGATTAAATTTAGATTTACAAGCCGCGATAGACAACCAAAATTAACATGACAAAGATATGAATGTCAAATATTTGACTCATCAGGGATAATAGCATTGTTCATAATTTTATTACACACATCATCATGCAAGGATAAGCGGAACAAGCCTCCACAATCATAACCTTTATCAACAAAAGTTCCATACTTTGACAGTACACGTTTATTGGACTCAAAGACAATTTTATAACCATCTCGATAATATTGAGAGCCGCTAACTAGATTCTTTTTTATGGAGGAGACATGCTGCACGTTCTTCAGCAGCACCGCATTTCCCGAAGTGAACTTCAGAATGACCGTACCAACACCAAGAACACGCGCATGGGACCCATTCCCCATCAGCAAGGCTCTAGTCCCGCTGACCTGATAAGAAGAAAACAAAGATGCATCAGCACACACATGAATATTAGCCCCAGTGTCCATCCACCACTCAGGCGAATGACAAACTGAAAGAATGGTAGGTAAAGAATTACCATACCCAGATGTTCCTTCTACAGCCTCGCTAACAAACATGTTTGCAGATTTCTTCTATTGCTTAAAATTGCGGTCTGGGCATAAACTTGCCCAATGCTCATCACTCCCGTAAATAAAGCAACCACCATCTTTGTTGTTCTTTTTCTTCTTAAAAGTGGTTGTTTGTTTAGGCTTCGAGTTGTTCTCTTACTTGTTCTTCTTCTTATTATTATGAGATGTATTTGAATTTCTCTTCTGCACCATGTTGGCACTAGAAGACACAACGCCTTTTTCACGTGTGTCTTTTGCTCTTGCCCTCTCTTCAACATCAAGAGACCCAATAAGCTCAGCCACGCTAAACTCTTGTCTCTTGTGTTTTAGAGAGGTAGTAAAATCCATCTAAGAAGGTGGCAGCTTAGCGATTATACTGCCGGCCACAAACTTATCGGGCAACACACATGGGAATTGTTCGAGTTTCTTAGCCAGTGCCTATATCTCATGAGCTTGTTTGACCACAGAACGGTTGTCAACTATCTTGTAGTCAAACAACTGCTCCTTGACGTACAACTCGCTATCGGCGTCAGAAACAGCAAACTTAGCATCAAGTGCATCCCATAATTCCTTGCCTGACATGTAACGGAGGTAGCTGTCCTTATACTTGCTGTGAAGTACACTAATCACGACGTCTCGAAATAGATTATCGGCTATTTGGAACTTTTTCTCCTCCTCAGAAGCAAATTGTTTAGGTTTCCCCTGTGCGGCGTGATAACAGTTCATAGCAGTAAGCCACAGCACCATCTTAGCACGCCATGTCTTATAATTTGTTCCATCAAAATCATTTGACTTCAAAGCAGCAGCAAAATCACTAACAGAAAATTGCATAAAATCAGTTTTTTGGATTGTTAGGTATTTAGGCAATTTTATGTTAAAATTAATTCAGAAAAATAATAACAAATTTGTGATGACAAATATGTGCACGTGTGTGATTTTACTACTACTCAGATTAGCAGCAAATATGTTGATGAACATCATACTGATAATAGCGAAAAAGAAATTGAAGTTAACCAATTTAAGAATAGAGATGTACCTGCAGAGGGACCCATGCTCAAGGCACCGGTGGCTCCAGACCTACTCATGGTGAGTTGCTCGAAGTCGCGGACCACAGTCGGTGTAGGAAGATGTACGTAGTGCCGTCCCTCGAACGTCCACCAGGAAGTAGACGAAGCCGATCCGAGTAAGAAAGGGCACCAACAGGAAGGAGATGAAGACGACGAGCAATCGCAGAGACGCTCCCTAAAAACCTGATCGCCTGCACACACTCGAGCAGGTGTCTCGATGCGAACGCCGGGTCCGAAGGCCTGCTCTTCTAAAGCTCCGTGCGCGCAGAGGATGAGATCAGGAAGACGAAGAGTCGAAGTGATTACGAGTAATCAAGCCGATCCGAGGAAGAAAGGGCACCAAAAGGAAGGAGATGAAGACGACGAGCAATCGCAGAGACGCTCCCTAAAAACCTGATCGCCTGCACACACCCGAGCAGGTGTCTCGATGCGAATGCCGGGTCCGGAGGCCTGCTCTTCCAAAGCTCCGTGCGCGCAGAGGATGAGATCATGGAGACGAAGAGTCGAAGTGATTACGAGTAATCACACTGTAGTGGATGGTAACGGACCCGTAAGTAACTCTTCCACATTAGCGCCTGTACTCCTTCCTCTTCCTTAGACGGCCCAAGTGGCGCTCGTGCACGGCTCGGCTCGACTCGGCGGCCACGGCCACGCCTTTGGCCTCTTTCAACTTCTCTATAGGTGCACAAGTGTGTAGCCTATTTAAGTTGAGTTAACAATTAGTCAAAATCCCATACGAGACTAAAACTATATTGTACCACAACATTTAATATGGGCCTAGAATTAATTGATTTATTAAATAAAATATGGGCATAAACCCGTATAATATTTAACAGTATCAAATGTATAGAACCCTTTTTGAACGAATGATTTTTTTTTCTATTTCTCATGTTTTTAGTAAAAATGAACTAATTTCTGTAAAATTCCTACATAATTTCTATGAAATTTTTTAGAGTTTAAGGGCAGATTGCCCCGGCCTTTTATTATCATAAAAGACCACAGAAACAGTTACAGCACAGAGTTTGTAGCAATTTCTGTGAAATTCTTACACAATTTATATGAAATTACTGTGTTCTAAGGAGAGATTTGTACGCTAAAATAATAAGATATGAATTGTAGAATAGATTTTGAATACTATTTTTTTACGAGATACTCCCCCCACCACGCGGCACGGTCCCAACTCCCAAGTCGCCCGTCATCAGGCTGTAGCCACGCCACGCCAAAAGGCAGTCGATATACCTCGGCTAAGCCTGCTTCCTGCTCGTTTGGCTGTGGCTCGTCGTTTATGATCGTAAATTTTCAGTCAGAACAGTATTTTTCTCTCACATAAACCAGCCAGCCGTACTTCTTCACGAACCAACCACGAAACGATGGCTAGTTCGTATTGTTGCTGGTTCGTGAAGAAGGACTGCTGGCTGGTTTGTGTGAAAGAAAAATACTGTTCCGGTTAGAAATTTACAATCGTTTACGACACGCCACAGCCAAACAAACATGCTGCAGGCTGCTGATCGCTGGGGCTAGGCTGGCTGACCAGCCCCCTCACATGGCTACTATTCATATGAACCAATCAACAATACTTCTCTCTCACATAGACAAACCAGGATACCAACCAGCCAAACAAGTCCGTGAGCCAACAAGTCCGTGAGCCAGTAGATCGCCGTTCGCGGCCTCTCGCCTACCGCATCAATTGCACGCACTGACGCGCGCCTCCTGCGGCAGATCCGCAATACGGGTAGACCCGCCGCCCCCCCGGCCATCAGCGGGGCTCAGTACCCTGCCTTCCCTTCTCGTGCTCCCTCCGACCCATTTGACGCGACAAGACCAGCTCCCACCTCTCTGTGCTTACCTCAACGCAGCCTCTCAGCGCACGGCAGTTGCACATACACCTCCGCCTTTTGTTCTGTTACTTTCCCCCACATCCTTGTGCTTCCGCTCGAAGCTTCCGCCATGGGCGAGGGCGAGGACGAGGCTGAGAGCTCGAGCTCCGGCGCGGCCGCGGTCGAACCCAAGGATCCGAGAACGATCGCTCGCAAGTAAGCGCCCCTTCCTATCCTTCTTCTGATCTGTTTTTAGATTTTCGCGCGGAGGGCCGGCCGGCGTATTTGTCTGCGCAGTTTCTATGGTAGTGGTGGATTTTTGTTTGTTCATTTCTTGTGCGAGATCATCGATTCGCTGTGTATTGCTCATCTGTCGGGAGTTCGTGAAGGTTTTAGGCAGGTTTTGAGACGCGATTGTTTTTTTGTTCTTCCTGTCATTTAACTTACTTTTCACGGCTGATACTACTGGTTTCGGTTTTCCACATTTTTTTTAGATTGTTTGATAGAAGCGTTTCGTGAGGGAGTTTGAGTTTTCGCATAAGTTGCGATTTGGACGGCGGAGCCTGGATTCTCCACCAGGATATTCGAGAATAATTTTCACCAAACAGCAAGAACTAAATGCACTCGTAGAATTAGACATTTTAGTATACCCAATACAAATTTATTTTGTTACAGAAAATATGGGTATTCCAAGGAATACCTAGAATACCCCTGCCGCCGTTTGCAGCTATGGATGTTTAATGCCTCCTGTTACGAAGATCGAGAACGTGATATCCCTTAATCTCTAGGATTCGGTCCTGTTGATCGCCTGCTCGGCATTAAAAGCATGTGTGATCCTCAGCCTGTCTACGCAATTACTTTATGGCAATGCAGCACCCCAGATACGTGTCAATGCATAAATGAACAAGTAATAACTCTTCGAGATGTCGTGGTGATTGTGCCTTGTAGTCATCATTCCTGCCAAGGCCTTGTTTAGGCCCCGTTTAGTTCCAAGCCAAAAACCAAAATTTTTCAAGATTCCCCGTCACATCAAATTTTGCGGCACATGCATGGAGTACTAAATGTAGACGAAAAAAAAAACTAATTACACAGTTAGCCGAGAAATCGTGAGACGAATCTTTTAAGCCTAAATAGTCCATAATTAGACAATTTTTGCCAAATAAAAACGAAAGTGCTACAGTAGCCAAAAGCCAAAAATTTTCGGAACTAAACGGGGCCTTATTTCCTCCCCAAAAGTTTACACACTATCCTATTGAATGTTTGGACACATGCATGGAGTATTAAATATAGACTAAAAAAATAACTAATTACACGGATCGCGACTACTTTGCGAGACGAATCTCTTAAGCCTAATTAGTCCATCATTTGACAAGGGGTGCTACAGTACGCATGTGCTAATGATGGATTAATTAGGCTTAATAAATTCGTCTCGTGGTTTACTTACGGATTCTGTAATTTGTTTTTTATTAGTATTCGAACATCCCATGCGACACCCCCATGCGACACCCCAAAACTTTACACCCTGGATTTAAACAAGGCCTTATTACTTTGTGGCAAATGGTGGGCAGCTTTTTCATTGAATGTTGCATGTAGCAGCAATGAGACCCTAAGTTTCTTTTTTTTTCCTAAAATATTGTCAGACAAATTAGTGTCACTCTGCTGCATTACCTTAGCTTTTGTTAATCAAGGATTTCCTTCAAATAATACTGGGAGTATGGAAAAAACACTGATGGTTTGCTAGCTTTTGGTATTTAGATATCAGCTGGATCTTTGCAAGAGGGCAGTCGATGAGAACATCGTGGTGTACCTTGGAACAGGATGTGGGAAGACACACATTGCCGTGTTACTCATGTATGAGCTTGGACACCTCATCCGCAAACCCAGCCACGAGGTCTGCGTCTTCCTCGCACCGACCATACCCCTTGTCCGTCAGGTAGAATAGCTCCCTGCTCTTCTCACTATATCTATATTCATTTTTGGTGGGGATGAAGTCATGCTATCAATTTTTTTATGAGTACACGCTCATTTCTTTTTATGGATGTTTGTGACCACAACTTTCGGTACCAGGTGCACCTTTACATGCTTAGTCAGTGCTCTTTTTCTGTATTTGTATTTTGTAGCAAGCAATGGTGATTGCGGATTCCACTAATTTTAAAGTTCAACGTTACTATGGAAGTGGTAAAAACTCTAGAGATCACCAGGCATGGGAGAAAGAGATGCGAGAATACGAGGTATGGTGTGCTATATGTTCTTTTTGCTGGCAGCTGCCAAGTGACCACTGATAGTCCTGTTTTGAAGATTTTTAGTAGCTAGTATAAATTAATAAAGCTATAGTACTTGACATGTTGTGGAGAAAAATATTCAGACAGAGATGTGTTTAGCCTATGATCATTTTTCAACCAGTGTTCTGACTCTTGAGTAAAATGAAAAATCAACAGTTGTATCAGCACACAACTTTGGCGAACATAACCAATTTATATCAACTTTTGCACGCAACTTTGGGCAAACATAATCTATCTGTACCATCATTGTTTCTTATGCATAATTTTTTTCTTCCTAACTTGTTCTGCTTTCTCTGCCGCTTCAGGTCCTTGTAATGACTCCCCAAATATTATTGCACAATTTGCGTCATTGTTTCATCAAGATGGACTTAATTGCACTTTTGATATTTGATGAATGCCATCATGCACAAGCACAAAAAAGGCATCCATATGCACAAATTATGAAGGTAACTGCTCGCGTACAATTTCAGTGCCTGTACTATCATCTGTTGCAATCTCTGGAAATTAATATTCAGGTCACAGAACTTCCTCCTGTACCTGTGCAACATTAATTCTTCATTTCTGTTGAATTTATCTTGATGACAGGAAGTGTGTTGCTATGGCTGACAGGATTTTAATGTAGTAACTTGCCAAAAAAAAAAGAAACTAATACTGTAGATATTTTCGGTACTAAACATGTGGGTGGGTAAATTCAGCCTCTAGACTTCTAGAGGCATTGGAACAGATTGGATGTACAACCTTTTTTTGCTGATGATGAACTTGCCTATATATTTTCAGTTTCAAAACTGTAGAAAGGTATGGGAATCACACCACACGTCCATTGTGGGGGGTGGGGGGGTGTTGTTGCCTTGCATATATATAGCCATGATCAACCTGTGGTACAAGGTAGGTGGTATAATACAAGGAAGCTAGGCTATACATGGATAGTTATCCTATACAATTGATCTTAATGGATCCTATCCTAATAATAACAATTGATCCTAATGGATCCTTTCCTAATAAAATCAGTATGCGGAATACATTTGGTATAACTTGAGATTACGCATGTGCTTGTACCTATATTAATGTGTGCAAAGGATTCTCAGAATTCTACAATGGTTCCATTGACATCCTAAGATACAGATTATCACAATATTCTAATATACATATATGAGTATTTAAAATTTATTCGAATCCATATCTGACATTCATATTTGTTTCTTAGAAAAATAATTGCTAAATCTTCACAACCATATACTTCTCAATATCTGGCATTCATATTTGTTTCTTATAGTACTGCCTCCGTTCCAAATTATAAGTCGCTTTGACTTCTTTGGTACATCGAATTTGCTATGTCTACCAAAAAAGTCAAAGCAACTTATAAGTTGGAACGGAGGGAGTAGTTGCTAAATCTTCATTACCATCCACTTCTCATTTTCTCAACCAACCTAGGAGTAACTAGGTGGCACTGTCAATAAAAAGAAAATAGGCACCTGAATTCGAGTTGAAGAGGACTCGAAAACCCGGGCGTGGAGGGTGCCCAGCCGCACCTTCCATCAACTGAGCTAGAGTATGCTATAGCCGTTTACTTTGTTATGGATGGTAGATGCACCAGATATAATTTATTATCACATTGGCGCATCATCTTTTATGGCTTTTGCTGTTCTTATATACATATGTCACTGTATTCTTCATGATGCATGGTATTGTTGCATTGAGCCACAACCTGGTGATGATCCAGAGCTTACTTGTTTCCTTCTTTTCCTCTCAACGTTTAATTGAATACATGACAAACACTCTTATGCAGTTATGAAGGTTTGATCAGGTAGTTGGAATGACAAATTGATGAAATTTCATTGCTTTGAATCAATTGAACATATGCAGAAGTTGTACTATACCTCTTAAAGACTCTTTAGAAAGTTACATGAACTCAATAACCTCATTTTTATGAGAGGACCTCCTTCCTTCTCTTCCTGGAGAAGATCTCTAAAAAATGAAGCTCGACTACAAGCGTATAAGATTTCTGAAAACAAGCGATCTGTTTTTCTCTCCTAGGTTGATTCTTGTGTTTAGTGGTTCTTTGTTTTTCTTCTTGTTCTAGCCTCGCTTGGGGTTAGCTGAAGTGTTTTCCGTTTGTTTTGCTCAGTGTTTGTTTTTGTGTTTTAATAAAATCTAACAGTGGGGGCTTCCCCTGCTGTTTTCCTGGTTCAAAAAAAAAAGTTACATGAACTGTGGACTTCTTAGTCTTAAAATATTTATAACAATATTTCAGGAATTCTACAATAACGCTGATAAACATCCTCGTGTTTTTGGCATGACTGCTTCACCGATTATTGGAAAAGGTAATGATGTTCTTACTTAAATGTTTTATTCCTCGTCAATGGTCTTAACCTATCCTGCTAGCAACTGTATTAACTTAATTTCCATCTTTCTCATATTTCAAATTATGTTGTAGTCAGAATATATTCTTGCCCTTTTCTCATTTGGTTAGTGCTTGAATCTTATTTTCTTTCCCTTTATGCCTAGCTTTCAAATTATGCAGTCCATTATTCTTGCCTTCGTACAATCTGTACCATTGTTTGATCGGTAATCTGTTAAATGGCCAGCATAATACAGAATGAGATTAGTAGCTTTTTATGATAGTGCAACATATTGTTTATGTTTTTAAAGAAAAATTAGACCGATCTAGAAGGAAGTTGGGGGATTTGCATTAAGAAGAAATAGGCATCCAAATTCAAGTTGAGGAGAACTTGAATCTAGGTGGTGGAGGTATTCTTTTCCAATCCACAACACATAAGGTTTTGCATGAAAGCAAGGATAATATACCAAAGGGTTAATTGATCAATCAGTTGAAATGACAGGGAGGGATGATCTCTTATACTTTTGAGGTCTTTGTGGTAATTTGCTCAGCTGTATTACAAAACTAGGAGTATAGCAAGCAAGAAAATTGGATAGAAACATACTAGAGAGCAATCCTAGGAGAGAAGGAGAAGAGTTATTAGAGTGGAATAAGATGGACACCTGTTTCTCATCCTTTTATTCCAAACCATTGTGAGTGCCAAAAGCTCAAAGTACAGTGACTGAAGGATACTCGTATAGTCGTATTACTCCATTATTTTGTTGCAGCAGAATTGTTCTTTGGATTGAAATTCTATAAGTATCTAGGGACACACAAAATAGTGGTCAAACTTGTTAGATATAGATGTATATGTGTCTGTGTACTTTCCTCTTTGTGTAAGGGCTTCTATGCATATATGCCCATGTACATGTTTGGGCTGAAGCCTACCGAATGGATAGAGGTCATTCTCTCCTAACATGGTATCAGAGCTAGTAACTGAGCACGAAGAGGCTCAAACTCAGCACGAAGACGAGTCAGAAAATCGTAGGTGCGCCGAAGCTCAAGGTGGCTCTGTTGCTTCCTGCAGGACTCACAAGTGGCAGGGGACAGCTGAGGACTCAGAGTGTCAAGCTCACGCCACACACTAGAGAGCTGGTTAAAGAACTCCTCAATTGTAGCATCACCCTGTTGCAACAACTGCTCTTGGCGTAAAGCCGCAATGTTGGTTTTTCTCCGAGTGCTCATGACCCTGCCTTGTTTGTTCATAATTCATCTCGTGGCCGCACTCTTCTTCTTCTTTATGTTGATGATATGATCATCACTGGTGATGATTCTGAGTATATTGCATTTGTGAAGGCACGTCTCAGTGAGCAGTTTCTCATGTCCGATCTTGGCCCTCTTCGTTACTTTCTTGGGATTGAGGTCTCTTTCACCTCTGATGGCATTTATCTGTCCCAAGAAAAGTACATTCAAGATCTTCTTGATCATTCTTCCCTCACTGATCATCGCACTGTTGAGACTCCCATAGAGCTTAATCTTCATCTTCGCACAATTGATGGTGAACCTCTCACTGATCCCACTCGATATCGTCATATTGTTGGGAGTCTTGTCTATTTGGGTGTGACTCGTCCTGACATTTCATATGCTGTGCATATTCTTAGTCAGTTTGTTTCCGCTCCCACTCACCTCCACTATAGTGATCTTCTTCGTGTCTTGCGTTACCTTCATGGGACCATTACTCGCCGTCTGTTCTTCCCGCGCTCTAGCTCTTTTCAACTCCAAGCCTACTCCGATGCTACTTGGGCTAGCGACTCTTTTGATCGTCGCTCTCTTTCAGCCTATTGTGTTTTTCTCAGTGGTTCTCTCATTGCTTTGAAGACTAAGAAGCAGACTGCGGTTTCTCGTTCGAGTGCAGAGGCTGAGTTGCGAGCTATGGCTCTTGCGCGACAATGAGAGGTTACTTAGCTGCTTGCCGGCTACTTGAGGATTTTGGTGTTTCAGTTTACATGCCAATCCTCTCTTGTCCGACAAATCTGCGGTGCTATCAGCATAGCTCGTGATCCGGTGAAGCATGACCTCACCAAGCATATTGGTGTTGATGCGTCTTACACTCGGGCACAAGTGCAGGATGATATCATTACTCTTCGCTATGTGCCTTCGGAGCTTCAGTTGGCTGACTTCTTCACAAAGGCACAGACAAGAGCTCAACATCGTTTCTTTCTCTCCAAACTTAGTTTTCGTGATCCACCCTGAGTTTGAGGGGTGGTGTTAGATATAGATGTATATGTGTCTGTGTACTTTCCTCTTTGTGTAAGGGCTTCTATGCATATATGCCCATGTACATGTTTGGGCTTAAGCCTACCGAATGGATAGAGTTCATTCTCTCCTAACAAAACTAACACAAACAGATGAAATGTAGAGTGTTGCCTACCAATATGTTATTCTTCCTCTAAAGTTGTGTCATCCAATTTAGCTATTCTTCCCCATGGCTGGCTAATTATCATTCCTATACTTTCTATGACAGGTGGTTCTAACAAGCTTACCTACACTAAATGTATCAACAGTCTCGAGGAATTACTTAATGCAAAGGTACATACCACCACTGTTCTCCATAAATCTGCTGGGCTTAAGATGATTTTGACAGTTTGTTTGCTTTGTAAACTTGTACTCTAGGTTTGTTCAGTTGATAATGTAGAACTTGAAAGTGTGATTGCTTCTCCTAAGATTGAAGTGTACTTTTATGGCCCAGTTGGTCACTCTAACTTGATTACGACTTACATCAATGAGCTTGATGGCTATAAGTCTCAGGTGATTTTTTTAATTATACAGGATTTATCTTTGGTCCAGTTAACATGAGATTTTGGGTTATTTTCTTTTTTCTTTGTCCTTCAACAGCTTCTAATGTGCTTTGAACAGTCTGAATACATGTTAAGAGAGAGTGCATGCAATTTCAAGGAGTCACAGAAGAAACTGAAGTCGTTATGGAGGTTGCATGAAAATTTGATTTTCTGTTTGCAAGAAGTTGGTCTCTTTGGAGCCCTCCAAGTGAGTTTGCACAGTTTGTTCAGCCAGCATTTAAATCTTTATACAATCTCGCCTCAGTTGAATTCCTTCTTCACTGTTCCTCACTTCCTTGTATTTTGGCAGCAGTAGGAATGTAGAACTGTTGTACTGGAAGTCTGTAACAGCCAATAGCTTGCATATGTGTTTCAAGCTACCCAGTGTTTTCTTGTATACGTGATTTTTTATTCTTATTGTTTTAATAAACTGACTATAATGTACTTTTTTTGCATCCTTGAGTGACATTTGTGATTATGTTCACTTGACAAACCTCCTCAATATGAAGATGTTTGAAGGCTTACTGATCCCAAATAGCTTACATCCTTGCAAGATCTTTTTTTAATTACATTTATCTTGGTGTGCTTTGGTATTGCCTTTTTCTTCATAAGTAATAAACACAAGATTCATTGCACTCAGAAGGAGAGGCTTGAAAAGATGACAGGCCCAAATATTTTTCCCAAACCACAACGAATAGATGGATGGTGGTTTGTTTTTATTAAAAAATCTTGGATCCCCTCCATGTTGGCCTATTTAATTTGGGATAAAACCTTGACCTGCCACAGTTTGTGAAGTATGTGTTCTGCTTAATGCCACGATTGTGGCTTACCACACATTCTTAGCCCCATGCCATACATGTCATTGAACTATTTTTATGGCAGACTATTCACTACTCCCCACTTGTGGCATCCATTTCGGCCGCCGCATTTTTTTTTTGCCTAATGTCAAAATTAGGTGTGAACTTAACGCGTATGTGATATTATTTGTTTGATTGTAGTGCAGGCTGCAAGGACCTTTTTCTCTCCCAGTAGTGTTAGTCTAGATGGAAAGGGGGTTGACATTAATGACTATGTAAACAAAGCAACGTCTCTTCTAAGCCGCGGCATCTTAGAAGGTGAACTCCCCTCCTCGTACACTTTGCTGGTGTTTTGGATATGTTATTCAACAAGCTGATCTGCATATGTCATACATATAGTTTATAGTGGACCTTTCGGAGTTACTTTTTGTTGGAAATAATTGGAAAATGCATAATTTTTTTATATTATCAATTAAAAAATCTGACAGTTTTGTTTTTAAGGTGCGGATGCTGATTCATTTGACCTAGAGACAATAGAAGAACCTTTCTTCTCAAAAAAATTTGCAGTTCTTATTGACGTTCTATCGAGATACAGGTAAGCATGATCACTTGTGCTACTATCATTTTTCAGAAACATATGACATCTTTGATTTTCAGTCGTGTACTTAAGGCATTATAAGCTACAGTCCTGCCAGGTGCCTGAGTTTGGTCTCACTGCCACCACATTCTTTCAATCAAATATGATATCAGTTGTGTATATAATTATACAATCCCTACCTTGCCTTGCATTGAAAATCTCATAACTGTACAGAATACAGGTAATAGCCTGCCAGCTTACAGTAATTGGTTGGCCCCAGGATCAATCTTATAGTACACAAACAAGCAGTTAGAAATTTTATAGGCTACGCTTGAGCCTAAAATGACTAGAATATGAATTCATAGTCTTCATCAAGTTAGATGTACAACTCTCCCTTTAAGGCAACTCAGCTTCATATGCATCCACTGAAGATTTGTAGATACCCAGCTGGCTATGGTAGCTAGCAAGCTAATATGGAGTTATGAACAAATATGAAGGGGATACATGTCAGGATATAAGATTTTGCACAATTGAAAGGTATACAACTGATTTCTGGGATTTCATATAGAAAATGGTGCTGACAACATGGTTATTAAGTTCACTATGAATTACCAGAAAGACTAGTTATGCCATGAATTGGAAACATCAACACAACTTCATTAGCTGAAAACACCTCATACACATTATAATTCATAGCTTAACTAATTTGGTGTGAGTTGGGATAACAAGGGCCTTACTACTTTACATACATAATCTGTGGTCTCTGCTGAGAGATGACAATACCCATCATAATATGCACCTGGCCGGAGGGAAGGCGAATCAACCGTTGTTTCAATAGATCTATCATCGATCTTTATCCCACATAACAGCTAGGATGGCCACTTCGAGACTTCTGCATGAGTTTGAAGTTTATACTTACAGACATCCTAGCCAGTGATGTACTTGTTTGCCGCATTGTTGAAATTATATATATTCTATTGGTTTGCTGTAGGCCTTGAATGTGTTCAAAACCCAACAACAAACTAAGCAATTTCAATGTTTTAGCTGTAACCATTTTAAAACAAGTTTCTGCCTTCAATTCTATTGGCATCATCCTGGTTGTTTTCTCTTTGGTTTCTTCTACAGGCTGGAGGAAACATGAAATGCATTGTTTTTGTGAAAAGAATCATTGTCATAAAGAGTAGTAGCACATATTCTCCAAAATCTGAAGTGCCTTGATTTTTGGAAATGTGAGTTTCTTGTGGGATGCCACTCGGGATTAAGGAACATGTCAAGGGACAAGATGGGTTCTATCATTGAAAAGTTCTCTTCGGGTGAGGTATAATCTGGAGTCTGTCCATCCTTAATAGTCCTTGTCAGGTTTATCTTTATTATCTCCACTAACACCAGTATATATGTTTATGCTTCTTGTGTTACAGTCCCTTTTTCCTTACTTTTTTTTGCAGGTGAACCTTTTGGTCGCTACTAGTGTAGGTGAGGAGGGACTTGACATTCAGACTTGCTGCCTTGTTGTGCGGTTTGATCTCCCTGAAACTGTTAATAGCTTTATCCAGTCAAGGGGACGTGCCCGGATGAGTAAATCTAAATATGTTTTTCTCCTGGAGAGGTCATTTTCGTAACACCCACCCACGAGCACACGCCTTCATTCACCGATTACACTGGCTAATTTACACAAACCTATCATAATGCTATTAATGTTTCCTTGAATTTAGTTCCTTGTTTTTGGTTCTAGACCTTGAAGCCCTTCATTTTGATATTTACCAGGGGAAATCAGTCTCAGGAGAAGTTACTTGATGATTATATTACTGGTGAAAGCATTATGGATAAAGAGATTAACTTGAGAACATCAAATGATATGTTCGATTGCCTTGAGGAGAACATCTATCGAGTCAATGATACTGGCGCTTCCATTAGCACTGCTTGCAGTGTATCTCTATTACATCGCTACTGTGATAACCTTCCTAGAGATATGTATGCAAAGGATCGTTTATTATTCTACCCATTTTGCGTCATGTAAATACTCTACTAGAATAATTTGATACATCTTGTTGCAGGTTTTTTGTTCCTTCCCCATCATTCTTCTTTGTCGATGACATTGATGGAATAGTTTGCAGACTAATTCTTCCACCAAATGCTGCTTTCCGTCAAGTGAATGGTCAACCCTGTCCATCGAAAGATGAAGCTAAGAGAGATGCATGCTTGAAAGCATGCATTAAACTTCATGAACTCGGTGCTTTGACAGATTTTCTTCTACCTGGCCAAGGCTCTAGAAAGATGAAGGTATCAACAACAAATATTTCAGAAAGCAACAAAGATGAGGGTATGGTCATTGTTCATTATTCAGAATATGATGCGGATAATATTGGTAATTTGGCTTAAGCATTTTTTTTCCATGTTTCAGATGAAAGTTTTAGGGAAGAGCTTCATGAGATGTTAATCCCTTCAGTTCTGAGACCTTCAAGATGCAAACTAGATTGCTCATTGAAGTTGCATTTCTATTACATAGAATTTATTCCCAAACCAGCAGATAGACGATATCAGATGTTTGGTCTTTTTGTGATCAATCGCCTTCCAGAGGAATCTGAAAAGTTGGATGTTGAATTGCATCTTGCTCATGCGAGGATTGTGAAAGCAGGAATTAAATATTTGGGAAAGATTGAGTTTAACAAAGAAGAGGCACTGTCTTGCTTATCTGTTCAAATGCTAAGACACAATTTTCAGGGAACATTGCCTGACATCTCTTTTCTTTTATCTTACAGATGATACTCGCACACAATTTTCAAGAAATGTTTTTGAAAGTTCTCCTGGACAGATCCGAGTTCACTTCATCTTATATTTTGTTGGGGAATGATGCTGCATTGGACATGGATTCAACATTTTACCTTTTACTTCCCATCAAGCAGAAATTCTATGGTGATAATATGATTGATTGGCCAACAATAAAGAAGTGTTTATCGTCACCTGCATTTCAAGATCCAATGGGTTTGTCTCTGCCTGATTCATGTTTGCCAAATGAGTCTTTGAAGCTTCTTGGTGGAACGTACAAGAAAGCTGATGTCATTGGCAGTTTGGTATATACTCCCCACACCGACCTGTTTTTCTTCGTTGACTCCATTCTGGATGGAACAAATGCTAAAAGTGAGTTGAACGGTGCAACTTATGCAGAACATTTTAAGGAAAGGTAAAAGGATGAATTATTTCTTACATGCCATTCTTAACATACATTGTTGTTTACAAATATTGCAAAAATGTACTATACCATGTTGAGCTTCCAGCAAGGCAAATATAGTTAGATCACAAAGCTCTAAGATTTCAGAGTTATGCGTACCATTTCAGAACGATAAGTATTATGCTATGTAATATGATAATCAGGAAAGTTTGTTTTACTATCCTGAACAATCCACTTTCTCCGCTTAAACCCCTGAACAAAATGTCGGCTCAATTTATTCCCCCAAACTATTTCAATCGGTCCAATCTACTCCCTACTAGTGATATCTTTTTTTGTTTCCCTGTATACAAATTTAGTTTTTAATTTCAGATTGTGTGGAGTGACAAAGGACATCATAACTTGTGTTAAAAAAGTATATATTAAGAATTGTTCATGATTGTTTTCGTAGTTAGGAGCATGTAAAGCTAAACTAACCTGAGAAACACAAAATTGTATGAAAAATAGTGATGAAAATTTCTTAATGTATTTTTATGAGATAAGATATCGTGTCCTTTATCCCCTGCAAAATTATAACTCAAAACTAAACTTGCATGCAAAGCAACAAACGAGAAAAATAAATCATTAGGGGTTAGATTGGACAAACTGAAATAATTTGGGGGAGCAAATTGAGCCGAATTTTTTGCAGGCAGTCGAACAAACAAAGTTGATTGTTTGGGGTAGTAAAGTGAACTTTTTCCTATGTGTATCCTTCTGTGATGAAAAACTCTTAATGTATTTTTTCTAACATGGGATATCGTGTACTCTATCACCCCAAGAATGTTGAACTTAAATCTCAACCTGCACGTGAAAAAGAGAGAAAAACATCAGGGTGTAGATTAGGCCAATTGAATTAGATTGTGGGAGTGAATTGAGCTGAAATTTTGTTTAGGGGTGTCAAATGGACAAAGTGGATTATTCAGTTGTAGTAAATAGAATTTTCCTATGATAGCATACATCCTTTATGTTGAGAACAAACTAACTACAAATATCCAGCAGAACTGTGTCTTTGGATTTATCTATCCATATTTCTGTAATAGAGCTGTATCACTCGTAGTTTTCAGTATCTGCCTTGATCTTATACTAGCCATGCGTCATTATTTCTGTATCATTATTATAATATGGAGGTAGGCGATGCATCTGTTGAACTGCTTCATAATGTTACGCTTTACTGAAATCAGGTTACATATCGAGCTTTCCCATCCTGAGCAGCCAGCCACTTTTGAAAGCTAAGCAACTCTTCTGTCTCATGTAATCTGCTTCATAATCGACAACTTGAGAGCACAGGTTAGTCTTCTTCAAGGAGATAATTCTCTCTTTTGAAATGATGAGACACCATTTCCATTACTTTCATTATGGAAATTCAAGCAGTTTGATAACCAGAAATAGATTAGGGATAACGGCGGATTGAGAAAGGACCTAGGACTAACCTACTTTATTCAAGAGACAAGCCTCGATCAAAACCCACACAAACACAGTTTAATAACAACGGTTCCAGGCACAACCATACAACCCAGAAGCTATTACATGCCAAAAAGAAACAATGGCAGATGGCGTATCTTTATCACACCACCGTGCAAACACCTGTGCAGTCAGTCCTCTGCTTGCTTGACCGATAGACCAGGCAGCATCCTAGTTAATCCTCGCTTGTGTAGCTATGATTGTATGCCACGAGAGATAATTCTTTCTACACCATTGCAATTTACTTGAATCCCTAATTTGCCGTCAAAAATGAATTATCCCCTATATGGTATCTGGCTACAAATTCTATCCTTTTATGCCGTTGTTGGCAAGTCAAAGTGTCAAACGCTCATGGAGGCATAAAGTAACCTCTTTGCCCCTGCCCTCTTTTTTCCCAGGCCCGGTCCTCGAGGGGTGTGGGCGGGGCAGCTGCCACGGCCCACGGGTCCCCCAAAATCAAGGGCCACACTAAGTATACATACTACAGACTCAGCTGTATTCAGAACTCTAAGAAACATACTGCTGTATGTATATATACATATACTACCTAAACAGCTGGTCCTGACAAAAAATGCAAGTCATAGGGTAGTTCTTGATCTGTTTTTTGGTCCATGTTCCGTTGACTTGGCTGCAAAAATTTAGTTGCTGGTGCTGGCGAACGAAGATTCGCTATTTAAATGGGACCTGCTGAGTCTGCGACGCCGGATTGCGTGAACCAGTGATCAAACCATCCCCGATAGTATGTACGCCTATCGTGCAGCTATGCCTTTTCCATCTTCGCCCTAAAGCTAGTCGGTGGTTATAGTACATGATGAATTATGGATTAATTGTTTATAATAAGCAATGCTTTGATGAATCATGATCATATTTATTTAGATTTCAATTACCAGTTTGTTTTTTATTTTTTCAAGTATGTAAAGAAAACATGCATCTAGAATTGTAGAAAAAAATACATGAGCTAGTAGAATCATAAAAAAGATCCCTTGACAATTTTTTCCAGAGTAATACGAACACTTGAAAAAAAACCGAGATGAATATTGATTCAGAAGACCAATGTAACACCCCAGCCCATTAGTAGCCTGTAGTAGTTGTGAAGTTGGCCCAAGTGGCTTATGTGTGGTTGTGGTTGGTGGGTTTAGTACCACCTTGGAAGTCTAGAAAGGTGAGGGTCAGCTTATAAGCCTTGTTGTTCCAAACGTAGCACCTCCGGGTTAACCCTTTTACACGAAGCGAGGACGAAAGTGTAAGAGAGGTGCTACGCGTATGCAGGCCCGTTCCACGTGCGTAACTGAGCCATATAAGCAGTTTTGGACGCGGGGTGTTACAACCAAGGCCCTACGTTAGACAATGTTAACATCGGATGACAACAATGTGAGTGATCATGAGCGCATATTGAATTCATTTACTACAGAATATGCAGATTTTATATTATCTTGATGTTTATATTAGGACCCCGCTGTTATTGCCCCATCCCCCAAAAAAAAAAAAAAAGAAAAAAAGGAAGCACTGTAAAAAGGGCCAGTCAATGGCATCTAGAGCAGTGACAGTTAAAACTGTTACCTGTACCCAGTACTCTCTTAGTTAGATATGAACGATACTTTCATTAGTGTGCAGAGTCCAGACGGCAACATTGGCGCCTCGAAGCTGTATGGCTGAGGAGATACATAAGTGCTAAAATGTACAGTTGCCAGACAGAAGTATATTAACAGACGTTAGATGACCACTTCTGTGGGTATGAGCCTAATAGGGTTTTCCTCTCAGATCCAAATGAGCAATATCATAATTACCTTATGATTATTGGTGTCGGGACCAACCAAATTTGATATTGCCACTAACAGGTAACTGAGCAAGTCCTAGTATTATTAGGCAAGTCTATGTGTGATTAGCTATGATTAGCACCTGCTATGTATACTTGATTGTATTCCTTGTATATCCAGCCATATTGGCTATATATATGAAGGTAGGCAAGTCTATGTGTGATTAGCTATGATTAGCACCTGCTATGTATACTTGATTGTATTCCTTGTATACCCAGCCATATTGGCTATATATATGAAGGTCACCCCCCCATATTGGGTGTGAGGTGTGTCTCTACATGGTATCAGCCTATCAGATCCTATTTTCCTATCCTTTCCTCCCGTGCGACTCTCCCTGATCGCACCTTCCCCCTGCGACCCTTCCTGCTCGCGCAGCAGCCCAACGCGTCTCCCTCGCGCCCGTCCACCCTCACCGGCTGTTCTACTCCCCCTCTCATCTCCGATGGCCTCTTCCTCCTCCTCGGCCACCAGCGCTGGCACCCTGCCCACGACAGGCACCCCAACCATGGCTGCCATGAGCACCGGCGCTGCTGCCCCGATCGTGGCTCACAACTACGCCACGGTCAATGTCAAGTCCCACATTCCTTTCACGCTGGACCTGCAATCCAACTACTCCAAGTGGGCGTTTTTCTTCAAGTCGTTGTGCGGCAAGTTCGGCCTTCGCTCCCACATCGATGGCTCTGCTCCCCCTCGTCCTGATGATCCTTAGTGGGATGCCGCGGAGTGCTGCGTCCGGGGCTGGATCTCCGGCTCCGTCGACGACTCCGTCCTCGACCTCGCCATGGACGGTGCCGATCCCACCGCCCGTGATCTGTGGGTGGCCATTGAAGGGATCTTCCGCGCCAACCGGGAGCCACGCGCCATCTTCCTCCTCAACGAATTTCACTCCATGGTGCAAGGTGACAGCACCATATCGGCGTACTGCCAGCGGCTGAAGATCAAGGCCGCCGCTCTTCGCGACGTCGGCCATCCTGCCCAGGACTCGCAGCTCGTCCTCGCCCTTCTGCGGCCTCAATCCTCGCTTCTCCAACACCGTCCTTCCCACATTCGCCAGGGCCCATGACATGTCGGCCCTAAAGGAGCTCCGTCTCGCCAATGATTTAAAAGATTTGCCGCCAAGACCGCCTCCTTACCACCACCGCTCTGGCGCACACCAAAAGCAGGCGGTGCCGTGCTCTCGCCGCCACACCAACTCGGAGGTCCACACAACCCACACGTGACCGGCCACGGCAGCACCAAGGGCGGCGGCGGTGGCAACAAAAGAAGGGCAGCAGGGCAAGGGGCAAGGCGGGCTGGAACAACGGCTCTGCCTGAAGCAGCAGCGGCGCGGCGGGCCGGTCAATACCGCCCCATGGGCCCCTGGCTTTGCTACAATCCATGGGCGCCACAGGGCCCTCCTTCGGCTCAAGAGGCAGGTGGCGCCCAGACGTGCTTGGCGCCCTCCTCGAGCTCACACGGCCTTGGCGCCTCGCAGCCCCCGACATTTGCGCCGCTCCACGTCTCTCCACCAGCTCCCATGTGGAACCAGGATGGTCTTGTCGCTGCACTCAATCAGATGCATCTCCAGGGCCAGCATCCCTGGGTCCTGGATTCCGGCGCCTCCTCCCACATGAGCTCCTCGGATGGTATACTCCTCTCTCGTCATCCTCCTCCTCACTCTTCCATTACAGTTGGCAATGGTGCACATCTTCCTATTTCATGTCGTGGCAAGTCTGTTCTTCATACACCAGCGTCCAATTTTCATCTTAATAATGTCTTAGTTGTCCCATCTCTAGTCTGCAATCTGCTATCTGTCCGTCAATTTACTAGGGACAACAACTGCTCTATAGAATTTGACGCTCTTGGTTTTTCTGTCAAGGATATCCCGACCCGACGCGTGATGCTTCGCTGCAATAGTGCTGGTGATCTTTACACCTTCCCTGCTGCATCTTCCGCTCCACACGCCAGCATTGCCATCTCCACCGACCTCTGGCATCACCGTCTTGGTCATCCCAGCTCCGCCACCATCGACATTCTTCGTCATAATGCGTCCATCAACTGTAATAAAGTAGAGACACACCTCACACCCAATATGGGGGGGTGACCTTCATATATATAGCCAATATGACTGGGTATACAAGGAATACAATCAAGTATACATAGCAGGTGCTAATCATAGCTAATCACACATAGACTTGCCTAATAAGTATCAAAAGATCTCATCCATTTGATTGACACTCATGGATGGCTGTGGCTTACGCAGTACCAAACAAAGTATAACTTGTCTAGTTATACATATATTGGAGAGAAGTTCGTTCAACCATTTGTTTTATTTTATTTTACTTTCAACTCAATTCAACTGTAAATTTTAATCAGATTCATGAACTTCATGTTAATGTATTTGATCTGGTATTTTGCTACTTCCTGCTTTTATGGATTTTAAGCACTGAGATGATTGCTGTGATTCTTTGATGGTTCTGATCCTTGTACAGTACCTTTGATATTATGTTTTTCCTTCACTGTTTCTTATAAGAATCTGAGGGTCGTGAATTGATGGAGCACTTTGTGGAGTTACCTCCAGAGCTATGCTCTTTGAAGATAACTGGGTTCTCAAAAGATATGGGCAGTTCTTTGTCCTTGCTACCATCATTAATGTGTCGCTTGGAGAATTTGTTGGTGGCTATTGAGTTGAAGGATGTCATGTCATCCTATTTCCCAGAGGCTTCTCAAATTAGTGCCTCGGGTGTAAGTAATACTAACTTTCGCACTGTTGAGGCTGAAACTTCTAATTTGATTTTGTTATCTATGCTGAAGTAATTGTGATTTATGACATTCATTACAGATCCTTGAAGCACTGACTACTGAAAGGTGTTTAGAGAGGATCTCTTTGGAGCGATTAGAAGTCCTAGGTGATGCTTTCTTGAAGTATGTAGTTGGGCGCCATAACTTTATTTCATATGAAGGACTTGATGAAGGTCAGTTGACCAGGAGACGTTCTGATATAGTGAGTAATTCGAATTTATACGAGTTATCAATTAGAAGAAATTTGCAGGTGAGTTGATTGTATCAATGATCCCAATATTTATTTTATGCTAAGTTTTATATAGTTATAGCAGTTATTTCATCCTATCTTATTGTAGAAGAGATCCAATGTGCTTGTCCTTGTGCTGACATGGTTACATGGTTGAACGGTTGAACCTCAAGCACAAGATGGCAAAAGTTTAAATCATGATTTTTGTCCCAACTATATATAAACAGACCCACATTGTGACTTGGGACTTAGTGTTGCATTTTTTAACATGCAGGAGTACAATATCAAATATCCCATGCAAAATAAGTTAGGGCATATGCCTCAGTGGTTGAGAAAGAAAACAGACAAAAAAAAAACAAAGGCCTTAAAGCGCTTTGTGTGTCCTACTAATAGCCATGCTGGAGCTCCTTTTTAAGAACCACAAAAAACACCAACCCTGTTCACATCTAGAGAAGCACCATAGTAGGTTCCTTTGTTGCAGTATTTCCGTAACTCCCAAGCAACCAGAATAACCAAGGAATTAAATCCCTTTTTAAGTTGCTTGCTGGCCTGTTTAAGAGCTTGGCTCCACAAGGGGAAAACCCTATTGTGTCAGCCTGCAGCGCCACCATACGCAAGCCCGTAGACCACACAAGAAATCAGGAGGGGCTGCATCGATTCAGGAGCTTGATTACACAGAAGGCAGTGGGTATTATCTAGCCTATCAGTGGTCCAGCATCGGTTAACAATTGCCGATCACATGAAAAACTTACAAAGCAGTGGTGCCCATGATTTTCCAAATCCGTTCCAAAGGGGCAATTACATTCATATGCACTATATTCAAGCAATAGCCTAGGCTCCTGGGCTGTCGGTACATAGGCTTGGGCTGCTAGGGTGCAAAATTAGGCATTATAACTTGATTCTGACTTATTTTGATGGCACGGTCGCACCCAGAAGCCACAATGTGGCTCCACCCCTGCATCAAATCCCCCTTGTCCAGCCCCTGTGCAACTTAGCTTTGATGTTAATTTGATTCTTTCTTAATTACCATCCAATTCTGTTGAACACATTTGTTTCTGTTTCTGTTTCTGATCTATTTTATCATGTTTCTTGTTTACATTATGGTTATTGGCCTTCAAGGAGTTTAAGTAGAGAATCATGACTCCTGTATTTTGTGCACATGTTTTCCCTTTACCACCTCAGGTGAGAATAATTTGTTGCTCGCGGTGTTACACAAAATTAAAACATCTTGATGCAAAATATAGGTATACATACGGGATCAACACTTTGAACCTACTCAGTTCTTTGCACTGGGAAGACCTTGTAAAGTTGTTTGCAATCCTGACAGAGAGACGACTTTACACCCGAAGAATATCCACCCAGATAGACGTGAAAACTTTAACTTGAGGTGTACAAAATCACATCATTGGTTGCATAGGAAGACAATTGCAGATGTTGTTGAGTCACTTCTTGGAGCTTTTATTGTCGAGTGTGGATTCAAAGCTGCATTTGCATTCCTACATTGGATTGGGATAAAAGTTGATTTCGAAAATTCAGCTCTCTATAGAGTATTAGATGCAAGCTCCGCCAATTTGTCTCTCATGAATTACATGAACATTTATGAGCTTGAAGAATTGATTGGCTACACCTTCAAGCACAAGGCTCTTCTTCTCCAAGCATTTGTACACCCTTCATTCAATAAGCATTCTGGAGGATGCTACCAGGTCCGACCTTCCTTTTTCCCTTTTTATCTAATTGCTAGTGAGCTATTCTGATAGTAAAGAACACACTCACTTCAGCATATTCTGTACATTTTTAATCAGAGGATGGAGTTTCTTGGAGATGCTGTTTTGGAATATTTGATGGCCTCGTACCTCTACTCAGCTTACCCTGATCTCAAGCCTGGTCAACTAACAGATCTGAAATCATTAGCTGTGAATAATAATTCATTTGCTTATGTGGCCGTTAAGAAATCTATCCATAAATATCTCATAAAGGATTCTAAATCTCTTACAGCAGCGGTAAATAAATTTGAGAATTATGTTAATCTTTCAAGTTCAGAGAAAGACTTGTTAGAAGAACCAACATGTCCAAAGGTATATGCTTTCCTTGATTCTTTTTACTTGCTGCAGAAACTTCAGTTATCTTTCTATAGAATTTGTGAATGACCCCTTTCTCAGTGTATTTTTCCTACATTTCTTTAATAACACTTCTTTTATTTTCTTTGAGTTGAAACAAAAAGTCACGATTAATAATTACTGCTAAAGGAGCTTCTTGAATTTTCTATATTCCCTCTGGTTCTAAATGTAAGTTATTGAGGACAGTGACAGTCTCCAACGACACTTTGACTTCCTATTTTTTATAAATCATATCATTTGAAATAGTGAAAGTTATATGTTATAAAAGTATTTTTCATGATGAATCTAGCAACATCAACCATATATTGCCAACCGATGTAAATATGTTGATGGGTCAAGTCAAAGAAGTTTGACCAGCTAGAATCCTAAAACAGCCCACATTTGGGACCGAGGGAATACAAGATTAGAGAGTGGAATTTGAGGTATAGCTATTGCAAGATAAACAGGTATTTGGAATCCTAGATCATTCAAGTATAGGATTAATTCAAAACTTCTGTTCAGCTTATCTAATACATTAGGAACTCTTTTTGAAAATAGATTTTCTGAATGAATCATGTAATTTATAGGAGACACCTTGGTATTTTGTTTTTCATCAAAGTTTGCATTCTTTTGCTGTAACCATGCAGGTTCTTGGTGATATTGTTGAATCTTGTGTTGGTGCGGTGCTTTTAGATTCCGGCTTCAACCTGAACCATGTTTGGAAGCTAATGCTAATGCTTCTAAAGCCAATATTGAGCTTCTGTGGCATGCACATTGATCCTATGAGAGAACTCCGAGAAATTTGTCAATATAATGGTTTTGAGTTAAGACTTCCCAAACCTACGGAGGACAATGGAGAGTTCCATGTCAAAGTAGAAGTTAACATAGATGGCAAGATGATAAGCTGTACTGCAGCAAACCGGAATTCGAAAGATGCTAGAAAGGTAGCTGCACAAGAAGCGCTTTCAAAACTGAAGGTATATTTGTTTTGGCAATATATTATGAAACGGAAATTGCATGTTTCTCTAGCACCATAGTTTTCATACTCTTGATTTTTTTTATTAATTACTTAGAAGGCATGGCAAAGTCAACTTATTGGTGGCAATAATGAAACCTTGCACATTTACACAGAATAATGGATACAAGCATAAAAGAAAGTCACTGGAGGAAATTTTGCGTGCTACCACGAAAAAAGAATCAGAACTGATAGGCTATGATGAAGAACCAATCAATGTTGAGGATGACATACAAATGAAGAATCTACTGATAAATGGAGAAATGGAAGGAAACATCTTTTTTCAAAATAAAGAAGTGTCGTTGAACGGGAGGTCTGAAACCTCCATTCAGAGTACAGCAGGAGATAACAAGGTTGACAAGAATGATGTTAATAATGGAAGGAACAATAAGTCCAATGTGGTCGTGCAGAATGGTTGCCTATCTAGAGGGGCAACTGATAAAATAAACCAAAAAGAGTATCACGGTATGGTAATTTCTAAACTCCATTTTTTCTCTCTGTAAAATATGCTTGTCATCTAAAGCTTCGAATGAGCAAGGTGTCAACTACAGATTCCAACCAACCTGATGAACATGTGAAGTGCCCTTAATGACATTTATAAATCTACAGTAGCCATTGGTCTTCAATCCTTTATTGATCTTTTATATATCCTTATGGCATCTAGATGCCTGTGGTGCTTGTCAAACTACACATATATCTGTGATACACACTTAGCATAGGAAATATGCTACAACAAAGTTCTGCATGGAAAGGGGCAATTGCATATTTTGTTCAACCTTGTAGTGTATACTTAATATATTGCATGGAACATAACCAGTACCCATAAAGTGTGCACTTTATTTTAAAAACATTTTTGAATGAAAAGTTACAAAATTTATAACTTCACTATACAATAAAACATGTTTGGAGGTTATGTTTCGCACGTGAAATGTGACCATATTGTGATTTTGATCAATTTTGGAGGTAATATCTTTATATTGTTTAGTACTCCTACCTTGACAGGTGATATGGTACGCAAAACAGCAAGGTCATTCCTTTATGAACTATGTGCTGCAAACTATTGGAAACCTCCTGAATTTGAGTTATGCAAAGATGAAGGACCAAGCCACCTTCGAAAGTAAGCTCATCTACTTACTAAATATCTGAGCGAGAAAACTTATTGACTTATCTTTTACAATCAGAATTCTGTCCTTGAAGCTGGAATTATGTTTGTGTTCTAGCTTCGAGTGGTAATTAGCGTTTCACTTTTGGAACATTGGCTAAAATAACTCTGTTCATGCAGTTTTCTATATTAGCAAAGCTGAACTATATCTATCATTGTAGTTTTTGGACTACATTGCTTGTGGCCAACTATTCTACGTATGGGAAACAATGTCGGTGTCGAGTGACCTATGATTTATGTCTTTTTACATGCAGGTTCACTTGTAAGGTCCTTATTCAGATCACGGGAACTTCAGCGACCCTTTTGGAGTGCTATAGCGATCCTAAGCTACAAAAGAAAGCAGCGCATGAGCATGCGGCAGAGGGAGCTCTGTGGTATCTTAAGCAACTTGGATACCTATCAAAAGATGATAATCGTGTCTAGCGACATTTTAGGTTTGTGGCCTTCAGTCACATACATAGACCTCAGATGGGAAGAGTTTTATTATTGTAAACATGCATTTTGTTCAGAGATATATTGACACATACGAAGCTCACATATAGGAAAAGAAGCTAGCAAATATATCCGTAGGTTGCAACAGGAAAAACTATCAAATATTCATGAAAAACAACTATGGGAATGGTACATATCTATTTATGTTTATCATTTATATAAACTTTGAAAGCTGTAATTTATTTTTTGATGATTGTAACATCCATAATATAAGCTAATGTTGGCAATTGTATGACAATATCCGATTAAGTTTGTATCAAATTTACAATACAGTCTTGATAGATTTTTTTTTCTTTCATTACAAAGCACAGAGATAGTTACCAAACTATTTATGCCTTGATATAGTTAAATATCGAGTTGCATTACTTTCTTTCTTTGTGGATCCATAATCAAAGCACTGGTCTGTCCGCTGATAATTATGACAGGAGTTGTCTCTTAATTTTTCATATGGTAACTCTCTGTTTGGGATTACACTGGTATGTATATACAGTTTAGATTTATTTAGACCGGATTGACCACAATTTGGTCAAAATTTTAGTTCACAGTTTGATTAGGTAGACCAAAAGCTAAACTGGTTATAGTAAGATAAATTTTGTCCCTAATCAACAAAATTGCATTAACATCTGATGAAAATCTTTCTTTTTCTTAAGAAAGAGATCAAGAGTTCAAAAATCCATAGTATTATATTTATTATTTATTTTTTAATATTTATGAAAAAATAGAAGAAGTTAGAACGGAAGGGTATTGGAAAATCGGACAAAAACGGAACATGAAACCAAACAATAGAACTCAACCTCCGTCAGTGGCGGATGCAGGATGAAATTTCACCTATGGCAAACTTACTATGTATACAAAATCAAACATGGTTGACCTATAACTTGTGATTTCGCACAAACCTTTTTCTTCTTTACCCTGCTAGCCAGCAAACTCACGACGCTGTTGCCGTGGACCATTGGCCAACACGCAGAGCTGCGAAGGTACGGATGTTGCCGTTTCACCATAGTATCGGTGAAAGGAATTTATAATGATTTTTAGATGCCAATTTCATTACAGATGTTCTAATCCGCGATTCCTGGCAGATTTGCTCCAATCAATGTGGAAAATGCAGAATTAGGGTCGTACCTATCTTATTTGGATAGAATAATTCACGTTTGTATGTCTGAAATTCTTCTGCTAAGGGATTAGAAAAATGATACAGGAGGATCCTTTTTCTAGATTAAATGTGATATACATGAGGATCCTTTTCTAGATTAAATGGCACTAAGGGTTTGTTTCGATATAAGTTATAAACTTGGAGGGATTGGGAGAGAATTTAGTTCATTCCCTCTTTAGTCCACCTGTATTGGGAGGGAATGGGTTTATCCAAAGTCCTAGTGGTGTCCAAATCTAAGTGGGCTGCAGATTTGCTTGATGAAGTCGTTGTTTCTTTTCCATGGTTTGTTTGTAGCGAGAAATAGCTCTTTGGTAGATACAGCGCTAATTGGCAATTACCAAATTGTTACTATTTCCTTGGATAGCTGTGCTATCTTTTAACACATAGAGAAGTTATGTGGCCCAGGTTTACCACCGCCAGCAAGTAGCAGCCCAGAACGCCAAGTCCAATTGTTACCGGGATTTTAAACTTTTTACCGGACGGCACCTCTCCGTTTGCTAGCTTTGCGTGTGCATCTGCAGATTTGCTATCGCAAACAGTAGAGCTTCTACACATTTGCCACTTTCGCTGACATGGCACGCCAGCTCGACAACGCCCCTAGGAACCTCTACAGGATATACGAAATGACCAATTTACCCCTAGTCCTTCTCTCCCTCCACTCGTTGACATGTGGGCCCCACATGTCATCTTCTCCTTCAACGTCTAGCTGTCACCACGCAACGAGGGAAGGGGAGGTGCTCGTGCAGTCCCGGGTGCGCTGCTGCTGCCCCTCCTTGACCTCCGGCACACCTAGCCAGACCGCGCGCCGGTGCTGTATGATGCCAAGGGTGGAGGTCTGTCTCCTTCCCACGTTGTTGCGTAGCACGGGGGTGGTCAGAGCAGGGAGATCGGAGCTCCGGGCGAGGTCGACAATGGCAGTGGCGGCGCTGGAGTAGGAGGGCAGCTCGAAAAATGAGCGAGTTGGATGCGGCATGTGTGCAGAAGGCCTCAGAGCTGCTTAAATAGGTAGAGGAGATGGAGGGGATAGGGCCATAGGGGCCGACAGAGGAGCTTGGTTCGCCGTGGTGGAGCTTAGAGGTTGAAGAAGAAGCTGACGTGTGGGCCCACGCGTCAGCGAGTGGAGGGAGAGGAGCGAAGGTAAATTGGTCATTTCGTATCTACTGTAGAGGTTCGTAGGGCGCTGCCGAGCTGGTGTGCACGTGGCGTGCCACGTCAGCGATAGTGGCAAATATGTAGGACTTTACTGTTTGCGATGATAAATCTGTAGGTGCACGTGCAAAGCTGGAAATCCCATTGTTATCATGTTCTGTCGTCTTCAACCTCGCGTCAATCTCGACAGCATTACGTCCAGCAAAGAAAAAACAGTCCACACGTGGGGAGGGAGGGGGTTCTCACCGGTGGTGAGGTCTGGCGGCCCGCCATATCTCTAGATCCGCACCTGGCCGAGATCCACAATGGGGCAAGCTGCTCTGTGCCTCAGTGGTAGGGATACGAGCACCCATGGTGTGCCGCAGGAGCTATGCGGCGGGAGGGGCCGGAACTTGACCACCGCTGCATATGTCATTAGGTACCACCGAGAGCCATCGGACTAGGCCTGGAGAGACCAGAGCTCGTGGTTGTCCGTGTTCACCCATGGCCACCGACCACATCTAATCGCGGCGCCGCCTTCAGCGACGACGCACAAGGAAGCGTCGCACACCACGCCGGCCGTCAGCCCATCATAGATGAGGCACAACAGCTTCCCACGCCGCTAGAGCCCATGCGCCGCCACTGGCCTCACCCACGCCGGCATCCTGCGCTGCTGGTCTTGGACGGACGAGTGGGGGCTGGCAGACGGCGTAGACCAGGGCCTGAGCGGCCAGGTTGCACGGACGAGGAGGCGAGCCGTGTGGCCGTAAGAGAAGGCGAGTGGGTCGTCAAAGCGGATAGAAGGCAAGCGAGTGAGTCGGGCGGCGGTTGGGAGCCAATTATATTATTTGCCCTGTCCATTTGGGCTGGTTTGGTTTATAAGCCATGGCTAAAAGTATTGTTGGCTGGTTTGGTGTGAGAGAAAAATATTGTTCGTTGGCTGATAAGTCATAGCTTATAAGCCAAATACGACCAAGCGAACAGGCTGATTATCTTCGTTTTCAATTCTAACTGCATGGATGCTCTTGTTTTTTTTAACTTTGTATTTGTGTATTTATTCTAGTTGTTTTTTTTAATCCGAAGCTTCCCGTTGCTCCGATTCCACCCGAAGGGGACTTAACGGTGTCAAGTGAAGCCTAAAAGACACCGGCATAAATGACCCAATAATTAATATGATTTTTATTTACAGATTTATTGTGTATATATTATACAAATGACAACACATTTTTTTATAAATACCCAAATGTAATATTTTTGCACAAATGTCCAAATTTGATATTTTGCAAACATCACATGATACAAGTTAATAAAGAAAGATATCCAGATTGCATCTAAGCACAAATCACATCAAGTGAATAGCCTATATGGTTTTGATGGCTAGAGGGGAATGAGAAGGGGGTTGTTGAATAATTCAGTAAGGATCTCTACAAAAACACTAGAGCAAAGTGGTTAGAATAAAATATGATTTCTAATGGCAACAATTTTACCTAGCTCTAATTCACCTAATATAAATATCATGTGTAAGCCTCTTAAGGACATTTAGATCATTTTACACAAACTAAAAAAATTAGTACCATCATTGCTTGCAGCTCATATTTAGTCAACAAATCAACAAATAAGCTATAATCAGCCTTAAGGGTGAGAACAGAGAATCTATAGGAAAAAATCAGGACTGCCAAATGCCCAGATTCTTTCGACCGCAGATTCTGACTTATCAGAAAATCTTATTAGATTATAATTGATTATCAGAGAAGGGTATGCAAATAGGGCCAAAGAAACCAAACAAGTAACCAGGATTTGCTTTTGCTCGGCAAAGGGAGGCAGGCTACTTCAGCGAGACAAGGGTTCTTCCAAAGCGTGCCCGGAGACACCACTCCCTTCCCTTCCCTTCCACACCACCTGACACAGCAACCGATCTGACACGGCGGGGCGGGGCGGGGCGGGGCGGAGCGGAGCGGCCGGGCGGGGCAGGATCCAGATGGCGGCGGCGACGGAGGAATTGCAGTTCCTGGGATCCATCCCTGGGCCGGAAAGCGCGGGGGAGGTCGACGGCGCTGTGGCGGAGGAAGGACGACCGCGAGGCGGCGACGACGAGGAGATCCTGCGATTCATGGACTCGGTGGACGGCTACCTCCTCCTCATGAACTCGCTATCCTCTGCTCTTCGTCAGGTATATGCGACCTGCCAGTATTGGTATCTATTCCAACATGCCATGGTCTGTGGTCTCTTCACTCTTGATTCAGCGGAACACATGCAGTGAAGTACTAGTCAGTCGTTTTAACAAGAAATACTGTCCTTCGCTTTAGTAATTTGCACAATGTTACAAACCCTTTGAGCAGAACCGTGTTTCTGACCCAGTTCCTGTTGTAACATAACCTAAGGAGTGAGGAGGAGAATGCACTCGAGGTTTGGGAGAGATACACCATCATAAATCTTGTACATGGATCTTGCCAAATCCTTGGGTAGAACATGTCTCTGACCCTACCATGGAACGATAGGTTCATTGATGTTTTGTTAAGACCTTTATAGCTGCACCTGTGGGAACTCGAGGAGATAGGATTCAGAGTTAGGGCGAGACGCTCTATCAAAGCATTGTGAATGGTGTGAATTTATAGTGCTCTATCCTTCTTTTCCCACATTTACCTCACACTGTATGTTATGTTGCACCACCCACTGCATTTTCTAGTCTGTACTTAATTGCAGTGCTCTGGAACTAATTCTGATCCAGACTCTTGCATCAATTTTCACAAAAGTCTGTCCCTTCTCTGCTATGTTCAAATTGTAGTGACCATGTGATGCTTGGACATGATGCTCCAACATAATGTTGGCTTTTGATTTTTAGATTGAGATGCAGTGAAAGTCATCTTTTCCTGTTTCCGCACTGTATCATACAAGTAAACATGAATACAGGGCTGGCTTGATCTGGCAAGTGCTCGCCATTCTATGGGCCCATCACGTGTTTTGAGTACACTGTTTGATCACAAAGAGCAGTCTGCTGCCACTAAGCTTCAAGTTGTTGATCATGATGGCCTGAAACCATCAGGTAAATTACTTCTCTACTATTTGAGTCAACGGATGCTATCTATCTATCAGCATTGCAGAACTACTTCTAGATTTTAGGAATGCCTTTGTTTTCTCTTGAATCTGGTTCCTTGGTTCAAGGTTTGTTTTATTGAAGCACATTTTAAAATAAAACTAGAAAGGCAATTCTATACACAAATCACGAGCTATTTGCAGCAATTGTTCAGTTCGTAATTATAAATATTATCCATTATATTTCAGAGCCAAAACCACACTTTGCTCTATCAAAGTGGTCTTTGCAAGAAGAATGTTACTCCACCTATGATGTCAGTGAGAGAGCTTTTACTGAGCCAAAGATGAGGCATCGAGGATCAGTTACTACCCCAGGTATTAAAATGTGGCCTTTTTCTACTCCCTGTTAAGTACCAAACGTGCGCTGATCTGATCTCTTTCCTTGACTTGAAGAAAATGGAAACCATGAAAGTGCAAACACCACAGCATCGTCTACTGGTGCTGATGCTAGCAATCATGTAAGTTTGGTACAGAAGTTTCTTTCTTCAAAGGCATTGGAATGCCAGATAGTGAAATACTGCTTAGAGGGAGCAAAGATATATCGCTAGCTATACACAATGCCAAAAACATAGGTTTTATGTGCTAGAGTTACCAGTGTGGCTGAAATTTGCCCCTTGATATGCTTGATCCAAGATATGCCAATGTTTAACCTAAATGCCACAAGAATAATATATTGCAGTATACTAAGCCAATTTCAGTTAGGTTTCTATCCACAGCTGGGGTATCAAAGAGCTGTATTTTGGTACAGTGAATAAGAAAGCTGCTATACTTCTGGGATGCCCAGATTTATTGATTCACCTTTTGGCAATTTTGCACACTAGGTTCAAAGAGCGAGATCAAAAGCATTATCAGTCTTTGGAGGATTGGTGTCTCCAAAACTAAGAACCGCCCAACTTTCATTTGAAACAGGTTTTGATTCTTCATGACAAAAGTTTTTAAACTATTTTTTATCTAACTGTACATGTATTTGTTGCAGCACTTGACTTGATTGTGGAGCTAGCAAATTCAAGGTCAAATATGTTAGCTAGTTTCTCCCAGTTAAAAGAGTGAAGCTTGACATTCAATTTTGAGGTTTTGTACCCTGGGCACCATCTATTCAGCACTCATGGAATCGCAGAAACTGTAAATAAGTCTTGAAATCCAGTATATTTAAAGGAACGACTAAATAGCATATAATGCTTGCTATGCTGATTGGGAAGGCGGAGCTCACATACCTGTGAATGCAATAACACATGCTGGAATCTGTCAGAAATTGCTTGAGGCAACCAGAAATAAACCAACCATCAAAATGAGCCCTTTCGATATGCGAATCAAGTCAGGTATGAATATGGTACTAATATCCTCGCCTAAATGGCCGTTTAGTCTGATTAAACAGTGTTTAAATGGTAAACGGAGGCCACCGTGTCGTTTAGGCCCTAAAAAGCGAATTAAACGTTGGACCGTTTAAAACCGTCTAAACAGAATTAAGTTAAACGTGTTTAAATGAACTAAATGACCATTTAATTCATAATTTAGTCAATAGGAGGATTATAATAACCACCACAATAAACACTGAACTAATTAGCATCGTAAGTATATGAAGTGTTATGGGATTTAGATTTCTTTCAAAAGGATTATTTGGTAGAATATTTACTTTTTATGTGTTAATATGTAGACTTTTACGTATATAAATATGTATATTTTAGTGTTACTATACAAAACCGTTTAGACTGTTTAACTCCATTTGAACACCGTTTAAACGGTCTAAACGCTAAACAAAAGGTGACTGACTGTTTACTATTTACCGTTTAGGATAACATAGTATTCTTTGGAGTATACATTTGGCATGGTTGTAGGAAAAAAAAAGGTATATGTTTGGCACCCTAGTGGGCTCTGCTTATCTACACCGTTCGATTGAATTCTCAAAAGATGCTCAGATCTGCGTTGGACCGTGTAATTCTAAAAAAAACCCGTAAGTTCCTCCTGAAAATATATCTTCGGAGGTAATTTATAATTCCTCAAAAAGAGGTTTGTAATATAGATAGCATGTAGCATGATGGCTATGAGGCACATAATGTCATAACTACATTGAGGATAGGATCGGACCTGTTTTTATAGGTTGGGAACTAGCGATTTTTGTAACGGTAATGTTACATACGTTCGGAATCTTAAAGAAATTAGACGTCTCGCTCTGCGCTCGCTCTAGCACAGTGATTGGTTCAACAGACCCATCTACGCTCTCTTCTCTATCTACTCCATCTATAGTGTGACCGTCGGCAGAAATCCCCAACTCCTTGCTTCGCTCATTGCGGCTCACCGCACCGTCTGCCTGCCCCAAGCCGCCTCGCGGCGGCGCCCCCATCCCGTGTCGAGCCGCGACACGTCTGCTGTCGCACCGTGCTCCATCCCCTGCCGCCCCCAATCCGCCTCGTTGCACCGTGTCCGGTCCCCACCCCTGCGCGACGTGCCCCATCTCTCGCCGCGCCGAGGTGCGTTGACGCCGCCGTTGAAAGCCTTAGTTTGGTTTTGGATAATTGATGAAACCTAGCACTAACCTTTGTCATGAGTGATGATATGAGCTAGGTTGGTACAATCCAAGTGATTGAGCAAAATGAAGTCCATGGTGATGGAGGTGGACATGAGATGATGATGATCAAGCTCAACTTAGAAAAGAAGAAAGAGAAAAATAAAAACCAAGAAGATCAAGACAAAGGTATAATATAGGTTTTTGTTTTGCATTCAAGACATCATAGAGGGTGTGAGTGACTTAGGATCGATAGCCGTACTATAAAGAGGAGAAATCTTCGGCTAAACGGTTTATCGAGTGCCACTAGGTGACATGACTTTTGCATATGCATTTAGGAACCTAGTGTGCTAACTTTGACCCTTGTAAAATGCTTTGAAAAATGCTAACACACGTGTACACAAGTTCTACACTTTGTGGTTAGCAAGTTGAAAGCAAGGGTGAAGTGGTTGTGGCCTGAGAAAAAGAAAAGGAGGAAGAAGTCCATGACCGGACGTTGGCCGCGGGGTGACCGGACTCACCCTGGGCGCGTCCAGCCATTTATAGCCGCGCAGTGCAGCTAGCCGAGGGGGCTGAGGAGCGACCGGACGCTGCCTCTGGCGCGTCCGATCACCTGTTGGATACCGGCATTTGGAGGCGATCGGACGTGACGCTGCTGCGTCAGGTGGCGAGTGGTGTACGGTGATGTCATCATCGAGAGAGCGCACGTAGGAACAGTGATAGGACCGGACGCTGGGGCCCGTCAGGTCAGCGCTGACCTGACGCGTCCGGTCACGTTTTTAGCGCTCTGGATCGTCTCTGGAAATGACCTGACGCTGGAACGCCCTGAGTCCGGTTATCACAAAGGTGAGTCTGGTCATCACTTAGTGCACGAGCGATCAAAGTTTTGACCGTTGAAGATCAACGAACGACATTCAAAAGTAGGACACATGTCGACGATCTAGCTACCGGACGCTGAGGAAGCTACGTCCGGTCACACCCACCTGCACGTCCGGTCAGGCCGTGAAAGCAGGGAGCAGGGGGCCAATGGCTCTTTCGTGGTTGTTGTAACAGAACCGACCAATTATACGAAATTAAGTAAGAAAATCATCCGCCAGAGCAGACGATTTAGCAAACTTAAGCCCGTATAACCCGGTAGTCCGTGAAATCACGAAGGATTTCAAACCAACTTCCATTCCAGCCAAGATCGTAATAAGTTTAGCGGTCACCATCACATATTACATAAAAGTTCGCAATCTCAGATACATCAGAGTTTCAACATAGTTATTACAAAACCAGTTCGAATAAAAGTAGCGGAAGCCATTTGTTCAAACCACACACACACTCACGCGGAGTTCAAATATAGTGCCAGCGAATGATCATCTCCAACAAAAGCATTAGACGAGACGTAAGGAATGACCATGCCCATGGTCCTAAGCATCACCCATCGCAGGATAAAGGCAGTTGATACAGTAGCCGTAATACATCTGCCCATCTGCAACAAGTGGGAATAAAACCCTAAGTACGAGAAGGTACTCAGCTAGACTTACCCGACGTAACCGAAAATAAATGACACCAAGGATTATGAAGGGCTTTATAGTAGGGTAGCTGACTCATTTGCAAAAGAAGCATTTTTAGCATTTCAAGAACCTTTCTAAAAGCATTATTGTCAAGTTAATTATTATTAACCTGTCGACTAGATTTGCACCTATAATAGAGCAAACATATGATTAAGCGGGTAATGATAACCAATGATCATTAAACAACTTCCATACTGTCATATTCACTATAATTGTCCAAGTGTTCCATAAACATTTACTACGATGAAGTAACTCAAGTCAAGTGCTCACTATCCAGGAGCGATGGCGATTCGAATCGATTCCTAACCAGCTAGTGATTTATTCCTTACACAAACCTCACTCACCCGCTAAAGTGAGATATTGATCACCAAGTCAACTTTCCAGGTATCTCGATTTTGCCAGGAACCACATGTACCCGGGGGCCGACCGACTGCACTTTGGTCTTATCATCTCGCCCCCGTGTCCTACCACACCTGCTCCGGCACAGTGCGCTGCGGGCAATCTACTCGGCCCGAAAAATCTCCCAGCTTCGCGGTCGGAAGGTACTTTATCCGGCCAGCTAAATGTAAGGCATGCATTCAACATGACTCGAGGCCCAACAACGGTCGGTCCTTAATCGACACAGACGGAAACACTACAGTCCAAAACTCTGCAAGTCTCCGTCCGGTCTCGACTTCATTTAACACTTAGTTATACCATGACTTCATAGTCAGCCAAGTAGATCCAGGTAACCACCTATAGCTCGCAGGTGACAGGAAATCACCCAACTTCTACCGGTCTAAGCCAGCTAAGCATTGACTCGACTGCGGATACCAGGGTAACAAGGATATAGTATAACAAAGGTAAACAAGGTATAATGCAGCAACGGTTGCAAACAACTCCTAAACGTAATGCATCAATTAAAGTAAAGCATTGAATTAATAATTGCAAACCGGGAGAAAATGCTTCGAGGCTTGCCTCTCTCGAAGGAGCTCGGATGGTGATCGGGGCACTCCGGAAGTTCCTCAACGTCCTCCTCGTCGGCTTCTGGCACTTCCTGTGGCTGCACCTCGAACTGCTCCTCAGGCTCCTCGGGTATGACGACTGGGTTCTCGGTTTGCAATCCTGTATGATGCAATGTGCGTAAGTGCTTATGCAATCGGTGCATCGGATGAGATGAATACAATGGATATGTTTGAATGCAAGGTAGTCAACATCATCCAAGAAAATATACTACAAGCACATGTCATCTACTGTATTCTCTTCTACTACTAATATGTTAAGTCAACACATCTTATTAAATGCTTCAAAGATACACCAAAGCTAACATTATTAACTAACTTGCATTAAAGAGGATTATTTTATTTCATTTTAAACTAGGGCTACAACAGCAACCTATATTTCTGGTACTTATAAAAATCTAAGAAAATTACAGTAGCATAATACTACTCTAAGTAGACTACTATAAAATTTTCATGGCGTTTGGATAAGTAAAATAGTCTACACAAAAATGACAAGGCATGGCAGGATTATGAACATAAAATATTTTGAACTGTGAAAAGTGTCAAACAACAGAGTTAGTATTTTTCCTAGGTTCTTCATAGCATACAATGACTGTACAAAAATTATCACATGCATGTTTTATACAAAGTTTGCTCTCTAACTAAAATAACAAAAATCAGCCATTAAAGGTACTTGAACTACACCTCAAAATTTTCCCACAGCACATGCATGAAACATATTTTTCCTAGGAAGTACATGACATAAGAAGATTAACAAACTTGGAATCATATTTTTCTGAAGCCTATAGATTTTTCTACATATTTTTCAAGTTATCAGCAATATACATGATTAAAAAAAATTCTACAGCAAAGTATCTCAAAAATGACATGCAATAACTTTCCCAAGTAGATCTGATGATAAGGAACCTAGATAAATTTATTTCAACAGATTTGGAGCAAATTTGAGTACCCAAACATTTTCCAAACCATTTTTATTTTCAAATAATA